AGTGAAGACCGCACACGAAATTTTGCAATTTGTTGTAAACTGAAAACGATCTAAACAAAATCGTACAAACATATGAAATCAAAATAATTTTTATTCGTAAAAAAAGGAATACATAATACTGAATAGAAACTATAAATATATTAACTAATTACAGAATTTCAGTGTGCTAATTCAAAATCGGAAATGATACTTGAGCTAGAAAGCATAACTAAGTAATAAAATTAAATTTCATGTCTTAAATTGGACAAGAATCAAAAATTTCGAAGATGAAACGTGAGGAGAGGAAAGAGTGAAGCGGCACAAATGGCAAGCCCAAACCTAATGCTGACAAAATGCTATTATAGGGTCGATCTCACACGTACATTTCGGTTGATTATTATCAACCGTTCGATCCTTTTTTTAAATTGAACTGTATTTGGGCTCTCTGTTTGTGTGCCGTTTGCAATAAAAAAAAATTACAACATGTACAACATATATCACTTTTTATTGCAAAATTACCACATGTATAACATTGATTGAAAAATTACTAGACTTTTTAGGATATTTCAATCCGAATTAAACTAAAGAAGTTAGTAGCCAAATGATAAGGGATTTTTAATTTTTAATTTTCAATTTGAAATTGAGCCTGATTTACATGGAATCCGATTTTTTTATTAATAAACATGATCTGCTGTAATTAGGTAAATATACATGTTATAATATTTTGCTCAATTTGAAATTCACGATTTTAGGGTAAATATTTTTTTTTAATAAAGAATGAGAGAATTTTAAATTTTACAAAATTGTCGTGTCGAATTTTACCTAAATTAACTCGATTTCTATGAAATCTGATTTTTTTAATAAACAATTCCTCTATTGCAATTAGGAAAAGATATATGTGATAGTATTTTGCCTAATTCGAAATTCTCAATTTTATGGTAATCAGTTTTTTTTTAATATAAAAAATAATAAAGAATTTACTTTTGCAAAATTGTATGCATCAGTCGAAATATACCTAAATTAAATTCACAAAACCAATGAATTTAGGGTACATATATGGCTAATTGATTTTTTTAGAATACTTTAAAAAGAAAATTCAAAAACTGCTAAAAATAGAATGCAATAAATGCTGATTGACTTTTTTTACTACTGTTTTTGGTAAATTTGTTCTCTCTTTATATATACTACTGCGTGGCCCGTGCGATGCACGGAAAAACAATATTACGATTGAGTTATAAATTAAATATACAAATTAATTAATCAAGATTTACCCATCGTTTTTAAATTAAATCGCGTTGGACACAGTCTGACTGGATGGATCGAGAACCGTTTTATAATCAGTCTAGTTCACTTGAATAAAATATTTGCTATTGAAAATCCGTCAGCACCAGTCGACTGAACTGGTTGGATCGATACGATTTTCAAAATAAATTTGGCAATATTTAAAATTATTTTAAATAAAATAACATACTTAAATAAAATAGAGATTTATAAATTGTTTATCAAATAATTTAAACATTTGAATTTTTAAATTGTTTAGATATTTAAGTAACACATTTTATTCAATTTTATTACAAAATGTACTATATATATATATATATATATATATATATATATATTAAAGCATATTTTAAAAGAAAAAAATTAAATTGTATGATTTTTATAAATTAAATTGTATGATTATATTAAAGCGTATTTATAAATTAAATTGTATGTTTTTGAAGAAAAAATAAGAAAAATAATAAAACTACTATTCCTATTTTTTTGCTACTAATTTTAGTAAATAGGATGACTCTTTATATAAGTATAGATTTACAATTCAATAGTTATAATAGGAAATGATATTAAAATACAATTAATACATCTAAAATTATCATAAATAAATCAACATATTTATGGTAATCCGAACTTAATTATTTTTTGGTTGTAAGTAAATTAAAATTTATCCAACCCAAATAATAAAGCATGGAATTTTGACACATAGGATCCCGAAGCATGCGAGCTTATCATTTAGGCTCAACACATTCGAGAATTATATATAGAGGAGATATATAAATATAAAATTTGAATCAAGCAAATTGATAATAGAATTTGAATCAACATATCATATATATTTATAAATCCCGAGCCCATGTTCTCCTAGCCCCCACCTCGTCTCTTCCGTGACGGTTTTTCTCTATCCAGAGCCCATGTTCTTTTTTCTCTAGTTGAAATATTTTTACTTCACAAAATCAAATCTCAAGAACTCCAGATAAAGGAAGCACTCCTATTGACTCGATTGCAGTATTTTAACTTCCCAAAAGCTAGGACCTGGTTTGAAGGCTATCAGTGTTCTAAGATGGAACAAGAACTATGTGCCCATGATTACCACACAGAATAAAAAAAAAATAATAAAAAAAAAAAAAATTGCAATCTTGCAAAGGGGTGAATTTTTATTGCATTCCTACCAATTAAATGGCATTTATTTGTGTATATGCAAAGATATAGTTACCAACAAAAACGTCCCATAAATTGCGTTGGTGAGTGAAAATCGGATTAGCACTAAAATGTAACTGCCGTTTCCTTAAATTGCGTAGATCGTGGATTTTTAGTTCTCAAGCTTTTGAATAGGCAGTATATATTGTGTTTATATTCAATATATGTACAGTTTTTTTTTTTTTTTTTTTTTTTTTTTTTTTTTTTTTTTTTTTTTTTTTTTTTTTTTTTTTTTTTTTTTTATCTAACCTCAATTATATATGATATTTGAATTTTAATTGCCAATTATTTTGAACGAAAACAATATATATTGTGTTTATAGTCAGTATATGATAAACAAATGAAGCACGGCCAAATGTGAAACCCACGAAATGAAACATATACTGAACATATACGACCTATATACGCAACATATACTGCAAACAAAAAAAAGTTCATTTTCTCTCTCGCTTTTATTCATCGTGTTGAGAAACTTTTCACCAGCAAAAATTACATCAAATTCAAAATCACTAAGTATTATATTCATATCATATTTCACAAGCAGAAATCCAATCACGCGTCGCCGGCCATCGGGGCAAGAGCCGCTGCCGACGAGTCCATTACCTTCGGCTTGTGATGAATATTGTATCGCAAAAACTCATCTACAATTCCCCTTTTTGGCTTCCGATGAGCTTGCTAGCTGTATAGAAGCCACACCACCGTTCTCCGATAATGCGCCATGCCCGAAGATGGAGAAAACTGGTGAAAACTTATCTAACCTAACCTTTTTTTTGTTTGATATGTAGTGTATACAAAACATATACATTGAATATACTGAACATATACCCTTCATATACATTAAATATACCTAACATATACACTTCAGTTAAATGATATTCTCTCACCCTTTTTTTCTTCTTACGGACCACGCATATAGGAATAACAAAGCCCTTCTCTTTTTCTATTTTTCTTTCGTCCGATCAGAGAAGATCAATATATCAGAGAATCGGGATCTTATCTCTCCCGATCGTCTCAAACTCGTCCACCGACTCCTTCTTTCCGTCGTCGCATGAGAGTTCCATGGCAGCAAAAATTGGAGCAGCAACTTCCCATCGACTTTAAAAAAAAAAAAGAAAAAAGAAAAGAGAGAGACGATTCTTTCTCGTCACAGGAGACGAAGGCAGGTGGTGGAGGATGAGGAAGAAGAGGGTGAGGGTGAGGGTGAGGGTGAGGGTGAGGGTGAGGGTCACGGCGGAGGGTTTTTCTCTATCGTAAATATCTGCTAGAGAGAGAGAGAGAGTTGTATACATTTTCCCATAATTTTAGGGAATATCCCAATAACCTTATTTATGTTGATTTGCAATTAAAAATAGAAGATATGGTATATTTGCTAATTTTTTTTTTTATTGACTCGTAATAGTGCAAATAAATTGTTGTGTGGTAGTGTCAGGCGCAATTTTCTCTAAGAAATATGGACTCAGTCCCGTCAACATATGTTGGACCAAGCTCTTTTTATTTTCTCCTCACGGGAGATCGAGTTCACATCTGAGAAAATTTAAGCGAAGCGACAACGTAGCCTCATACAAAAGAAACTCAAATTTGTCAAAAAAATAAACCCAGACTATATTGAATGTGTTTGAGTTTTAATGGAACATGTTGATTGTGCTGAGGTTATGTTTCAATGTATATTTTAGGTGATCTTATATGTATACTTTATCATTTTATATCAATTGCTTTTATACGCTATCATTCTGTATGATGCAATAAAGATTGGGTGAATCGTTAAAAATGCAATTTTTACAAATGATGAGATAAGTGTAAGTGCGCCTATTTTTTATTCTCACATCAATTAACTATTTGACAATATATGTTATTTTTATTATTTTTTATTTCTTTCGCAGCTTTCAATTTACTCGACTAGAGGTATAAAACAAGTCAAGTTGGGTCGTTCATTGAATATTAACAAGGTGAAGCTAAACTAAAGTACAAAGTTTAAGAAAATATATATATAACTCTCAAACCTTAACTAACCAAGCTCACGAGCGACTCGTTTCATTTAACAGTTCTAACATTGATTTTAACATTCTAGTCAGATAACCCACATCACAAAATGAAGTAAATTCTAACCATGTTCTAAACTATGAGAGGGCTTGTTCGAACCTGGGGCAACTGCTGCAATTGACTCTAGCGTTGAAACTCCTGCCTAAAAGAGATCTCTTCAATAGAAAACCAAATATCCCTTACATTTATAATTAATAGTTTAAAGACAACAAGCAATGTAGCTTTTTCTTCAGCTTTTTTAAGACGAGTAAGAACACACATTTAAAAAAAATAAAAATAAAAAAAAAAAAAAAGAAGAAAAGAAACAAGGGAGGGAAGCAAAATTTATAACCAAATGTATCGAATAAGGATGGTGTTCAATTAAATAGACTTGTGTTTTTCAATTTGGATATGAACCAACTAGGTAATTGGGGTAAATATCAATGATAGGGATCAAAATTTTATACCAATACCGACAGTGATAAAAGTCCAGATATAATGGCAAAAGAAGGGGGACAAAACAGCACTCATTCTTCATCAGAATAATTGAACTTTATCGAGTGGGATTGCAGGTCAATTTGCCCTCCTCGGTAGCTACCGCGTTTCTTTTTGGTTTTCTCATGCCGGAATCCCCTGGATAAGACAGCACAAAGGGGCAGAAATGTCAACAACATATTTACGTCTCTTATTTATCAAATCCAATATCTATGCATGTTTATTTGTGGGCGTGCGCGTGCGTACGTGCGTGTTCACTACAATGACTTCGACCCATTTAGCATAAAGTTGAGGACAACTTCTCGAACTACAAAAAGATTTTAATATCTCACTTGAAGTTAACAAGCAGCTGGACCTAACCCACTTCTAGTAGTCCATCTTCTGAACATTCAAGTATATTGAAATTTTCTGATAATTTTTCTACAGGTTATTCGGAATATCTTTAGAAGATAAATATATTCGGAATATTTTTAGAAGATATATATATGTTTTATCCATCCACTCTATTTCTTTTTTATTTCTAGTTAGTATCCTGAACAATACATTGAACGAATCCAGTTTTATTCAGATATATTTAGTGTGTATATGATTTTGTAGGCAAGGAAAGTATGTCTGACGTAAGGTAGAAAGAAACACACCTTCCTTTGACTTGTCCCAAAACTTCTTGTGCTTTTGCACCGTAACCAGTTTCCGCACCATCCTGTAACAAACAGGAAAACAGAAGAAACGTCACCCGTTTTATTCACAACAAATTGGATGTCAAAACTTACTTCTAAACCTCCAGGCAAATAGGAAAAAAATAATATTTTTCAAAGTTCTTAACCATTAGGGAGAGGTCGTTCAGTTTGAAAGAACAAGAATTCGAAGAGTGCGTATTTATCTCAATAGGTAAATGGCAACTATGAGAAAAGTATTCATTAAGAGAGAAGAAAACTAAACAAGGAAACAAAACAAAGAATGTAACAGACCTTGGCCCAATATGAGTTATCTTGAAGCCTTTCATCAACAAATTCCACCTCATCAATTTTCACTCTTTGAAATGCATTCCCTGCTTTTGGCTGCAAAAGACCAGCAAACTTGTCTACTTCAATATTAACATTCGTTGTGATTTGCATAGAAACTATATTTAAGTGATTATATTCTCAACAATGACGAAAAAGAACACAATATTAATAAATATTGAAGGAATACAATTTTAAATCCTCAGCAGGAGATGCAAGCTAATCCCATGTGATAACCATTATAAGATAAGCTGTACTTATTACAAATTTACAGCACATTCAGATGGGATTAAGCCCTCAATTAAAAACAAAAATCAATAGAAAGAGATGATGGGTCTACCTCAGCGGAACCGTTCCACTGTTTCTTCGCAGATTTTTTCTGACTGGATTTATCCGCTCCATTGCCAATAACGGCACCATTAGCATTCTCATCAGTGTGTTTAGCATGTCCATTGGATCCAGAGTCAAGATCTTTGTCTGCTTCAAGACCTTTTGACTTTTTAGACTTTGATTCTTCAACAGCCACTTCATCACCATACTGGTTTTCTTTTTCAACATGATCCGTCCTTTTTCTCTTCTTGGTAGACTTCTCATGTTCATTATCTCCATTCTCTGTAGCCTCGACTTTTTTCTTTTTAGATTTCTTATCTGTAGTGAAATCAAGTGCCTCTTCAGCAGAACCCTTAGATAAACCTTGATTGTTTGATTGAGACACCTCAGGCAAAATATCTATTTGCTTTTCATCAGCATCTAATGCTTCTGAGATCGACTTGTTTTTCTTTTTCTTCTTATCTTTGGGCTTCTTAGTTGATTGATCCACCGTTGATTCAAGAGCTTCCGCACCATCGGATTCCTTGGACGGTTTAGACTCATTTGATTCATATATCTTTTCATTGATGACTTTACCTTCGGAAGTTCGTCCTGTCTCAGCAAAGACAACTGCAGCATCCTCCTTACCCTTTTTCTTCTTCTTTTTCTTATTTATAGCTTCCTCAGAATCCACACAATTCGCATCCCCATTTTTCTCTAATGTGCCATCAGTCTGTTTTTCTGTAAAAACAAATCTTTATTAAGTGCGCCGCTCAAAACTTAATCATTGATAACAAGGAAAGCAAGAAGCGATAATGTTGCAACAACATTGAGGGGCAACGATTTATGTTACCTATCTTCTTCTGGGACGCCGCTTGTTCCCGAGCATTATTACTGCAATGACAAGGATCTCAACAGCATAAGAATCACAATTGAAATGTGGCCATACACAACACAAGCACTGAAGTTATTTCCCAGAGAAATATAAGTTAAACATATATAAAAGTAGCCATGTTACAGAATAAAGGAGATCAATCATAACACCCTGTAACTTTATTGACTTCACGAAGACTCCTCATGGTTTGTACACAAGAAAATTCTCTTTCCTGGCCATGAACTATGTACAATTAACTGTATTAACCATTAAGTATATGCAACTAATCGTACAGCAGAAGTTAGTCAAAACCTAAACCCTTGAACGCACGTCGTGGTAAATTGATGTCCAGGCTACTAATGAGATCTGTCTCAACAATATTCAATCAAAACTTAAGTCTATCCCGCTCGCTATTAATTCCATACTTGCAATAAGTATAAGCCTTCACCATTAAAGAAGGCCACATGCTTCAGAAACAACTTCCACTTCACACAAGCTCTAGTTATCAAAACTAGGGTGTGAAGAATGATGCAATTGAGGACAAAGTTCAGTTACTAATTATGATTCATGCTACATCCTGGAAATATATGGAGCCATGGAGGACATATAAAACAATCACACTCATCCTTCATGCTCTTCGTGGATAGAAAACCAGCAGCCGCAGCACTATATAAGTAACATGAATCAACATGCAATTGAGAACACAATTCTTGCATTAGAAAGAGCATGAATAGAAAAATGTGCTTTCATGTTTACCACAGTTCCTGATACTTTGAGAAAATCTCATTCAAGTCAAGTGCCTTAGCCTTCCAAGTGCCGTCCTGCACCAAAAAACAATGATCAACAAAAGAACTCCAGCAAAACAAAATCGACAATTTTAACTTACACTTCTGAAAATACCACTCCATGCCCAATAATCAAAATCAACATTCAAATATTTTGAATTCGAATTCGCGAACGAAAATGATTTCATCAGCCACTAACTAGCCATAACTTACAACCCAACCCTCTGCAAACAGCATTTCAGTTCAAGAAATCAAACAAATACACTAAAAACCGCATTTTAGCTAAAGAAATCAAAATGCATAAGAACACTCACACAGAGAGATGCACACACATACACGCAAGACCCCATATACAAACCTCAATTTGAGCTGCGGAGAGGAAGCGTTTGAGGACTTTGGAAAATCCCTTATTCTCAAGCCATCGAGCGACAGAGGATATCAGCACAGACTCGTCCTCGGGCTTCAGTTCGGACGGGGTTTCAGGCTTAGCCTTCGCCATAGGTGCGCGTCTTTGCTGCTGCTGTGAGAGGATAACTTGGCGAGGCTTGAATGCGAACAGAGACGTTGCGCTAGGGTTTACGTCACTGCTCCCGGGCATAAAACAAGGGTTTGTGTCTGTGTTTGTATGTAGAAGCTTCTGAGCTGATGGAGGCCGAGTTGTATAATAGCTGTTGTTATATTGCACTGTGAAGGAGAAAGCAGTTAGGGTTTTGATGCGTTTCGGGTGTTGTACCATGTTATTTTTATGTTGTACCTGGTTCAATAATTATTAAAACTAGTACAACGCTCGTGTATTACACGGGTGCCTGCTAATTTTTTTTTTTTAAATCTAAAATTACTGAAAAAAGGTAGTTGAAAATTTAAGTACCTTTTAAAAATATTAATATTATCATATTTAGTATGACACATTTTATTTGTGCGACTTACTCGTGTTATATTATAATAATTTTTTAACTTACAACATATAACTATATTAAACATAAATATATCAATTGAGAAATAATTTTATTTTTTTAATGAATTTTAGTAAATATTATTAT